TACTGACAGTTAGCATTGGTTATTAATGGGCAAAGCTTTCTTTTTGAAATCTGGTGTTTTAAACAAGCAAAGTGCCAAGTTTTATGATTTCAGTCAGAATTGTTAGGTACAAAAAACACAAAATTAGACATAATGAACAGTTCAAATAAAAATGTTAAAATGTCCCATTTAACTTGAACAGTGTTAGTTAAGTAGCTACAAACAGGAACCAGAGGGTATAAATTCTCTGCTCTCCATCACATAATGATGTCCTTTGTTCAGTGTAACCATGTGGCTGATTACTCCTCACTGTTAGCATATCTGATGGCTACATGGTTATATGATTTTTCTTCTATTGATTTTGACCTCAATGAGTGTGAAAAAAAAGTGGTTCTGATAATAACCACACTTGGATCTTCTGGACTGAAAAATGTTAAATATGATCCTTTTCACTTTTTGCACCTCCTCTCCTGCCAGTAGGTAGAAAGAAACGTCCGAACTTCCCACTTTTGGGTTAATTGAAGAGCGATGGGAGTCAGGAGAAAAATAGGCAAGGATTTATAGAAAACCGATGCAAGCTATTCTTGAACTATTTAATTAACTCATTTGTGTTTTTTGGTGGATGACTAAGCTTTTGTATCTGCTGTTTTTATTCAGAAATCAGTTCATGGTTTAATGTTGAACATAACTGTATACAGCACATTTTAACTAACACAACAGTTTAAAAAAAAGTTACTTTTTTTATTCAGCTTCAGCCAGTCGGATGCATCAGTGGTAGAATTAGTGTGAGATAGTGGGAAGAAAACGCTGATGTCAAACTTGAATAGACTGAGTTTCAAACCACTAAGTTTGTGTGTATAAAGTCAACTCAAATACAGCGCCTGAGTGGAAAAACGGCTAAAAACTCCCCGAAAAATGGCCAATTGCAAGGAAAACATGCCTTTAGCTGGGACAATTAGCAGCAAACCATAAAACCCAAAATCAAATCTGGCAGATTCTGAGAGAAAGCAGCCACAGATGAGCTGTTCTGAACACACCGAGAGGAAAATGCACACCAAAAAAAACCTTGACAAAAAACACATGCACCATCACACACAAACAACATAATTAGATTTTCCAACAAATGACTGTACTGTACTATATTTTATGTCAAACTGACATGTAAAAATGTGTTTTGAGGAATTAAATTATTGCTGGGCTGAAAACCCCTCAGTGTCTGACAGCCATCATATGACCGCAAAATGTTTCTGGCTGTGGCGGACACATAGTTTCGATTTATGCTAACTATTATGTCGTTATCCTGTCAATAATGTACACACAGATGTATAGACGATATATGCCTGCACAACACATTGGATTTCTATTTTCCAAGCATTATGCAGAAACATCCTTCAGAATGATTGCCAGCCTTCCTTTCAATAAAATCGCCCAGTAAACAAATATTGTTATGCTAAGCTATTATACTGTTGTCAATTTCTCATCAAGCCGGTGAACTTTTTCCCAAAACATGTTGAACTAAGCATTAACCTTACTACCTGAACATGGACTCAGAAACCTCTTCAATGTGCAGATTTGAAAACAAAAATACATTTTTATAAACCATCAATGGAAATTCAAACTAAAAATGGTTTTTGCTTAGTTTGAGACAAAGAGACCTGAAATGCTTCACTGTAAAAAAAAAGTAAAACATCAGTGGAAACTGAAACTGAATTTTTTACACCTTACAAACAAAGCTAGTACGGTTTCAATGACATATGTAGACAAATATGAGCTTTAACTGTAATGATTTTAAATTGTCTTGTTTCTCTTTTTGGTATGAAAGTATTCTTTGAATATCCAGAGTAATGTTCTCTAAGTAAGACCTATGGGAATATAAACTTTTTTTTTCTCTTTTTTTTTTTTTACCGTAAAATGCCAAATATCCATACTTCTATTGATTTGGGGGGAAACGAGCAACTTGTAGATGTAAGCTTGAGCTCTGTAAATATATCAACTTTGTAATTATTCAATACTGAATGCAACGTTTAGACACATTTAAAAAGTTTACAAAATGAAAACTAATTCTATCGTGGACAAGTTGTGACCCGCCCAGCAACTGTGCTTTCTTTGGTTAATGTTAAATCTTTACAATCAAACAATATTCACACAATACTTAAGTACATGATATAGTGTCAGCAATCATAAAAACATCTCCATATACAAGAACCGGACCTGAAAGCTTCCAGTTGCAGCCTCAACCTGGGTCAGTCTTTACAACCAAGTATCACCTGTCATTCCACTAACTTTACTTTAGTGCAGTGATTTAAACTCGTTGTCTTATACTTGTTATAGAATAGAATGTGTAAGCAGAGCAAATGGTTATGATGTGTGTGATAGCAATGTTTCATACAACACACAATGTTGTCATTATGTGGAGCCACCCCTGTGGGCTGCTGGGGGTCCGCAGGTCAGAGACGGGGTCAGCTCCTGTCGCTTCAGGCTCAGTGGCCAGGCCATGGGTCAAGCCTAATTGAGGCATTTGGTAGGCAGCTTTTCATTTAGTATTAAAGTGAAAAGTGACTCCAAAGACTGCCTGAAACCCCCACCACCTGTCTCACACACACAGACACACACACATCCAAGCCTTTGCCCTATTGTTCCTCTGCAGAGAGGATCAGAAGATATTTAACGACTTGTTGAGGAGCTTCGTGGCCATGATTAAACACATGGAGATACTTTTCTGACACACTGAGACACACTCAGCCTTGAGTTTTGAAAGAGTGCAACGATGAATTTTGCAAGTGACACCAAAAATCTCTGAAGCTAGTAGAGAACGTCAAGCTGAACCACAATCAGCCAGTGGCTTGCACCAAAATCTCTCAAAATAACTCCGTGGACAATACTGTTCTCGGCAGAACAGCAAAACATTTGTGTCTCTGTCGCTCAAAAACAAGTGGCAAACGGTTGCTTCTTTGTTTTGGAAGTTCCAAGCGTCCATTTATATGTAACGACCATGACAGCAACCCTGTATAAAATCAAACTCAGCTGACACGTTCCAGCAAAGAAGATGGAGGTTTTTTTTTTTCCATATTGAGGAAATGAAGAAGAAAGAAGTCAGTGAGACAGAGAGACAGAGAGACAGAGAGACAGAGAGAAAGAGGGAAAAGAGCCAGACAGCCTCCTCAGCCTGAGGGGGTGCCATTCTTGAAAAGTGTAGCGAACAAAGATAAGAATGCAATGCAGTTAAAGAAGTCGTATTCAGCAAACCCATGCGCACACACACACAAACTGTCTTTTTCTAGAAGTTTCGATCTCCAAATGATGATAGAAGAAAACTTAACCAAAGCAGATGTTTCCACCCTAAATGTTTCATTTTAGAAGCTGAAAAAGTCCGACCTGGGATCAGAGTGAAAGAGGTCACTCAGTAGTCCATACACTGCGGACGTCCACTGACAGAGAAAATGAGCAAGTGATGAAAGACGACAAAGAAGACAAATTTAAAAGAGCTATATTTAGTGAGTCCTTCAAATTCGTATTACACTGCAAATTGTTTACACCCAGCAGTTTATAAGTCTGCTTATAGACTTGTCCACCTATCCCTGCAGACGTGCTGATGACCATTCCTCCAGACATTAAGGAAAATTAATCTGGAATAGATTTATCGAGCCTTTGCTAGAATAAACGGCCCTTGCATTAGAGTGTGTGGTATAGAGAGAGTGGCATGGTCAGCAGCATGGTGTTAGCGGACGGATGCAGACACCTCGGATCAGCTGGGAAACAGCACTTAGCAGATAAATGTCAGGGCCATTAATCACCCAATACGTCTGTCTTTATATAGCACATGTCGTACAAAGGATGCTATTTGAGCGGATTCACATTGCATAACAAGGGCTTGTGTTAAAACATGAGGGGGTCAGTATGTTTTTATACACACACAGACACAGACACACACACACACACACACACACACACAGACACACACACACACACACACACACACACACACACACACACACAGAGACAAACACACACACGCGCAAACATAATCAAAGCTGCAGTTATCAGACACACTGCAGACTGTCTTGTGATATCCGGAGTAGCCTTTTTCAGTGTTTCCATCGCGCTTATGTAATTGTGTGGATGGAAACCTGTTTACATAACCCTCGGGGGGGGGGGAATGAGTGTGTACATGCTCAGGTAGAGCAGACTTACTCAGCCATTTTGGTGTTGATGGAGTGATCCATCAAGTCTGACAGCCCGTCTGTTGGCTCAGAGCCTGCAGGCTAAAGCAGCCACTCTGTCTGCTGCACCTAAATGGCCCGAAATGGTTACGCTCACCTGTAGCACTCGGACTGACCAATAGTGCTACATGAAACAATAAGGAACGGTTTGTAATGTGTTGCTGTTGTATCATAACCCACCCTGCTTCCTTTTTGTATTCCTATTCAACCAATTCAGCAACTGGGAATCAGTTTAAAAAGTTAGGAGTAACAAGATCTGCATCCATCAGCGGTGCAGACATATGATGACACACACACACACACACACACACACACACACACACACACACACACACACACACACACACACACACACACACACACAAATGTCCACAAGCGTTCATGTCCTCACATGGAGCGGCCTCGGAGCACATGCAAGTCCCGTTCAGCTTTCATTTCCCTCCTTTGCTGCTTCTGTTGTTCTTTCTCCCTCTCGAAATCTCTGTACTCAATTAAAGCTGTCCTCAGGAAACTCAATCTCCGCTCACGCTGTCCCGAAACATCTCAGACACACACACACACACACACACACACACACACACACACACACAGGCGCGCACGCACGCACACACACACACACACACACACACACACACACACAACACGCACACACACACACGCAGAGGGAGAGAGACAAGAGAAACACACATCTCACTCATGCTCTGACATGTCCTCTGTCTTCTTTTCTCACAAACAGCCAACAGCCCGAGAAAGTTATGAGGAAAAGGAGATCTTACAAATGGGGTTGAAAGGCAGACTTACCAGATCGGGTGAGTTTTGAAAGCGGCACACAGTCAGGATGTTAGTGAGGGGCTGAAAAAGGAGTGTAGTAGTTGTGTTTGTCAGTCAGAAGTCCCTCTGGCAGTGACGATTGAGCTCAGCCTGTTGCATTCCGCCTCCCTCTTCTTTTCCCGTCCCACTCTCTCTCTCTTTCTCTAACACACACCCTCTTTCTTCCACTCTCTTCTTCTCTCCCCTCCTGAAATCATTGTGTACTTTGATTCACAAACCCTGCCTTTGTCACGTGATCCAACACTTCAAATATACAGCACATTTTTTAACCAGCCACAGAATGCCCGAAGGAAGGGAAAACAGGGTCCAGAAAGCTTAGGTTTCAACTCGCTGCCCCCCCCCCCCACCCCCCTCCCCCTGTTCCTCCTCTCGTTCTTTCTTTGTCTCTCTCTACCTCCACTCCTTAACTGTGCTGCCAGTCTTTTGTTTGATTGTTAGATTTCTAAATTTGTTCCTCTGCTCACATATCAAATATAGGTCTTACACACTAAGACAGACACACAGACACACACAGACACACACACACACACACACACACACACACACACACACACACACACACACACACACACACACACACACAGACACACACACACACACACACACACAGACACACACACACACACACACACACACACACAGTTGCACTAATGAAACAGTCATTAACTCGCAGACATATACAAACACACATGCTGCAGGGGGGCTGCACACCTTTGGGGATATCAATATCAGCTCTTGGCCTGCACTTTATGTTTACAATGCCTTGACTTTAGGATCGGGGCCAGCCAATGTGGGAGTCCAGAAGCCTGGGGCCAGTCAAGGGCCACTCTGTGTTTTATTGTGACTACATATCCCTAATGGGAAAGAAATATACGCCCTCTCAACATCAGTTTCCGTATGGCTGAAGACAATCGAAACATTACTTGAAAAGCAATGCTTATGAATGAATGATGGCAAATCAAACACTGATATACTATATAATATATTATCATGCTCCAAATCAAAACAGTGTCCAAAAACTTGTGTGTATAAAACAATCCTACAGCGTTCTCCTTCTAAAAAACCCTTCAGAGCCTGGTATATATGTTAGATGACCTCATTACATCTCCAAAATGCAAACTAGCATGAGCTGTTTCCCAGCCTGAGAAGTACAAAGAGCCATTCTCCCAGCGGTTTCTGCACCTTTAAATCAGTTCAAGTAAACTCTTCTCCTCCTACAGGATTTTCCTAAGCAAATCAGCCCCTTGGTTTTTCTGGTAAGGAAGCATTTAATGGAGATACATATGATCTGTGAGGAGATCAAACCCAGCCGGTCAGCCCCTGAGGGGCAGAGCTACCTGCCTCTTCATGTCAGAGATAAAACCGTCTGCTACTGCCTGACTGTGTGGACTACGCACAGAAGCAGCCCACTATAATGCCTCTTTAATGAGCCTTACTAGACTGCTAATGTAAATAGGTACAATGGGGAAGGGCTAATATTTCTTGATGGTTCATGTCTGCCCTCATTACTTTATATTTTTGTTTACTTTAGAACTTAGCGTTTATTCACTTTGTTTGAATCCATTTTTGTTTTCTTGACACTTCTGAGAAATTTCTATCACAATAACTATCAGGATTTCTGTGAAAATGTGTTCATGGGTCCCTTCAAACAAGAAATGGAAACAATAGATCAAAGCCACAAGCTGAAGCTGGAATTTATGAATAAATAAAAATGTGTGTTTTTAATCATCAATGATCTGGGATAAGTTTGTGAGTTCATAACATAGCCTGGCTTTTCTTCAGTGAGGCTTCTAACACATTTTTGAATGAACCATCCAATCGCAAGTCCACTTTTTTAACCATTTGTCATTCTGACAAAGTCTCAGTAACTGTGTGAGTGCGAGGGGGGTTAAAGGTTAGTGCTGTATGTGTTTCTATGTCACTGAAATCAGCTTAGAGGAAGGGAGTGTTTGAGGCCTGGCTGAGTGTAAAAGAGGCGTTTGTGTATTTCTGACTGTAAATCTACAAAGCTAATAAGCATATACATCCACATGTTGATACATGCACACTCTCAGAAGACGCATACACAGACAATTACTTTGTCCCCCCCCCAAACCTTTGTTCTTGTTTGGTGTCACTGGGTGTCAAAGCAGATTGACTCAGAAAGAAGATTAGGAACATGAGAAGGGACTCGTAGAGGCGTGCAGGTAGGAAGGATGGTGGAGGCCTCTGATAAAAACAGACCAAAGATGTACAGAAAGGAGAAAGAACAAGAAACAAAAAGGGGAAAAAAAAAGTAAAGAGGAAAAAAAGGGGAGCATATAACTTTCTGCAGAACTCAAAATGGGGCCCTTTTTGGCAGTCAGCAGCGGAGAAAACCGCAGAATGGTGCGACTGTGGAGTTTTTAGGGGTGGAGGAGGCATGAAGGGGGGTGGGGGGGGCAAGAAAAGGACAAGGAAGCAGGAGAGGAGGGAGAAGAAAAGAAAGAAGGGTGCAGACGGCAGGTTTTAATCAGCAACAGGCTGTTGGTAATGAGATCACTATCCCTCTGCTCTCAGATTGATGTCATGTGAAGCTTTGTGGTGCACGGAGAGGCATGCAGAGGATGACAGGCATGCATGACAAGCTCGCTCGGGCACACACAAACATACAAGCATACATACAGGAAAGCAAAGACAGAGCTACGCTCACATTACGCCTGGTGAATACCCACACACTAATAAACACTTGCAATCTGAAAAAAAAAACATATGCACAAGACACAAAGACCCTTTAAAATGCCACAACTCCCTGCTGTTAATTTTCCCCAAGCGAGAAAAAGAGCTGACACAAATATACTTACACCCACACATTCACCATAAACACGTTTCAGGTCCCCGAAGCTCCTTTAAGTCTTTTCTGTCTCTGAAAAACAGATAAACATGCACACAAAGAACATACTGTACCAGTGCTGAGGGTTGGCTAGACTTACGGGCAAAAAAAAAAAAACAGAGGCAGAGAAAAACGAGGAGTAAGGGAAGAAAAAGGAGTGAGAGAAAGCAAGAAAGCGAGAAAAAGAATGACACTCTGGGGTAGCAGTTGTCAGTTTTGGGGTTCTAAAGTTTATCACACAACCTGAGGGATGAGGGAACCATATGCGTACACGAAGAGACACAAGTTCACTTCACTGCGGGCTAAAGAACATTTGAAAGTGCCAAAGCTAATTAGCATATTTGGTGTTGTTGGTGATGATAAGGGTTTGTGGCCAAGTGAAGAAAGAAGGGGGTGAAAAAAAAGAGGGAAAGAAAGGAAAGAAAAAAGAGGTTGGGGGGTACATGTGCATCCAATGAACAGCGATAGTTTTTCCTATATAAATGTTCCCTAAAATTCAACCATGATGTCACCATGAACCTGTTGTGAACCCAACTCTGTCAACTACCATTACCGTCTTATTCCTTCTCCGGTCCCCCTCCACTGCCTCTCCATCTCCTTCCACTCAGCCCACATCTTGTTTTTTTGGAGCTTCCATTCTTTATCTTTCGCCATATGATGTTGTCTGGCAGCATTTTTCTTTTCAACACAAACTGCTTTTTTGCCCCCTCCTCCTCCTCTTCCTCTTCCTCCTCCTCCTCCTCCTCCTCCTCCTCCTCCTCCTTAAACCCAGCCCTCAAACACACACACAAACTGCTCACAGCCATTTGGAAAGTCTCTAGTATAACAAGGACAGTTTTAATCAGAACAAGCTGGCATATTTTGGCCAAGACCTGCACTTATGGTAATTCAATCAGAAAGAAAGAGGGGGGGGGGGAGCAAAAGCGAAAAAGGGGCACACGGAGGGTAGTGGAGTGTGAGACGGGGAAATAAGAAAAACAGAGGGAGGAAAAAGGAGACAGTGGGTGGATGGGAGGGTGAGGTAGGGGTTGAGTGGTTGAAGGAGTTTGATCCACATGTGGGAATGATTGTCTAATTACGACAGATATGTATAAGTGTTGCTGCCTGCAGGACACATGGTGATTGGAGGGCGCAGCAGAGAGAAAATGATTGGACAATTGAGAAATCAAGACGGATAATACGAGAAGGAGGACAACAAGACGTAGAAAATTGCTATGGTGGTTCCCTCTGCTTTCATTTTTCGGCCTACGACACCATTTTTTTTTTTCAATTCAGTGACTGCCCATCACAACAGCTTTTTCAGGGGATCTGAACGGCAGACTAAGTCTTTTGGAATAAGAGGCACTACAAAAACAAGCTCATCATTAACTCAAATTATCAGAAAATGTGTGGATTATCAGTAGACATTGCCATCACTAGAGTGTGTTATAAACCGATCTTCAGATAACATGTAAACGTGTTGACAAAAATACATTTCTTAGTTGTTTATCCTTTTCAGTAAAAACAAAACTGGATTGTACAGATGAAAATTTGCATGTGCTATTCCTAGAAACTATGTAAAATATGTTGAGGCCTAGAAATATTCACAACACAACCCCTGTGCCCTCATTTAAACAATACCTAACTTATCAATGAGTAACGGCTTTAGCATTAGCTTCAGAGATGCAGGTGCAGGTGTGTTTTTTGTTAACTATGTAGTAACGGTTTAGTTTGACAAACAGCATTCAGCTGATGTATTTTGCCGGATGAGTAGACAACAAGGGAGACCTCAAACAATGTCTGCATGCTCCAACTTAGACAAATGATATTGACATATAATACAATAAGGGTCATTGGCACCATAGTGAAGATATTAAACTGCACTTCATACATAGACTCTAATTCAAGGTTTGGTGTATTAATCAATGACTGATGACAACCTGGGCACAAATAGATTTTTCACTAAAGATTACATGAAGACTTAAAATTTCTTGAAGTGTATTTTAGTGTATTTTCCCTAAGCCATGTGTTCCCAACCTGGGGTCCAGGCCAATTTTGAACCCAATTCCCCCCTTTCCGACCAAAGTCAGAAATGGCCCGATTATCTGATGGTTCCAAAGATTGTCTTGGGAGGTGTTCCTGTGGTGTAAGGTGTGTTAAGATGGCTCTTTACCCTCTCCGATCTGCTCGGAAGACAATCGGGGTTGCCCAGATTTGAAACGAACCCGTTTTTAATTTTAAAACTTGCATTACTTTTCACATAGCTTGTGATTCTGTCTAAAGTTTTATGT